TATTTAAACAGCTTCTTTTACTAAACCTATACAAACTAAAAACTGAGATATTTTTCTTTATATAAATTAACTTACTTTTATCAAAAACATCAATCTTAAGCTATACAAAGAAAATTTCATTCTACAGATTCTTTATATAATTAAGCAGACTCATTTGCCAAACTAGACATATCCAAGTCTATAATCAAATTATCTAAATTCTTCTTTTCTATACCAATTCACTTCTATTAGAATGATTACTTAATTATATTTAAAATAAACACTTTTATTAAAAACCTTATAACCATCCATGAGCTCTCTTTATGGACTTTACTTAAATTCTTTAGGATCGTTCCTGATATAAAATGGTTATTAAATTTTAAAATTTTAAACTCTCTAGATCATGATACCCAAAAACTCTTACTATATATTAAAATCTTAACTAACAATCTTCTAACAATGTAAAACATCGATTTTTAATACCTAAATCTTTATACTATATCCAACTGCACCTGTTATCTAAATGCTAAAGATATAATACATCTAATTCTCTGCCCTAATAGCAATATTAATCTATCCCAATCACTTCTTACAGAAATTCAAAACATTTTAACATCTTTTCAAACTATTAATATCTCACTATTTACTATTCTTAATATCCTACTAAACTTCACTCTCAGCTCTTTTACTTTACTATATTATCTCATTCTATATACTATTTGCAGTTCCTTCTCAACTATTATCTACAACAATATCAAATCACTTATCAATAAACAAACTGACACTTTTCTTATATTATTATCTAACAACCTTTCAAACTGGTTTCTTTATTCTATATAGATATCTCACAATACTCATTAACACTACTAGAAAAAATTATACAACATCTCTCCCAAATCCAAATAAACTAAATTCACTTTTCTATTGATTCCAACCTCATCTAATAATCACTACAACTAATTTAACACTTTTTAACCTAATATACATAATTATATCTAAAAATAGTTCTTAAAAGGTTTTTCACTAACAACATGCTCTTCATCATAATGTTATAACAAACACCCTTAGATTTCTTCAACCTATTCTAGCTAGAACATAAATTGAAATATTTAACTATAGCATAAAATAGGAAATAGAAAATGTAATATCATGTTGGATGTCTTAATAAGTAGCACAAACATAGTTTAGAAATCATTAGTTCAAGAACTTATATTCTTATCTTGTAACACGAATTTTACTTTGTACTTTAAAGTTTCTACTTTGACATTATATTATTAAATAAAAAAATAAAATAAAATAAAATGTAGTTACTTATAACATTTATTTATAGTCTGAGTAGTCACTAACTAGTCATTAAACTACTAAATTAGAACTTATATAATTACTACTATTTGTATTAATACAAATAAAAAATAAAATTATATGCAAAAATAAAAACTTAAACAGTGAAAAGTTTATCTGTAACCTAAATTTACTAGAGTAATCAAAAACTCATTTAGATTATTATAAATAAAATATAACTTAATGAAATGCTATACTTGATTCAATAAGTAGACAAGTATTAATTTTATTGTTAACTTAAATTTTATTTAACTGTTTTTAGTATTTATTGTTTATAATAACTAACATAACTAAAAATTTTTACATATTTCATAAACTAAGTATTAAAAACATAATACCTTTGCTTTACAATTCTTTTACCAAACCTTTAACTTTGACTTTTACTGCTTTTTACTATTTAACTAGTAAAATTTTATAAACTTAATCATTTAATGCTTTATGTATTTTTTACTTTCTTTTATTTAATGTAAAAACTTAAGACTATGGGATTCAACAAGATTCAATAAATATTGTTTTCTATAATATAAAAGCTTCAAGATTGCTTAGTAACTTATTAATAATTATTTTATAATTCAAGTAAGTAATACAAGATATTTGAAATATATTAAAATAATATTAACACAATTTTATAAGTTGTGTAATGTTAAACTACATTCTATATAGTGAGCACTGTCTCTGCTAAATTCAATTTTGTATGTGCTAGTCAAAACAACTTCCTCATAATCATATAAAGTAAAGAATCTACTTTCTCCTTTTTTATATATATCTTAATACTATATGTAGATACTATAGCAATGGTTACTATAAAAAATACTTTTATTTAATAAGATTTTAAATAAAATTTTATAGAAATACATGTTATGTAATTATATTTTAACTATATTTATATTTATACTAATATTAATCTTGAACTATTTTAATATTTAAATTATTAGATTTTATAATAAAACCAATATTATTGCCATAAATATACAATTCTTTTAGTGTAACATTCTTGTGAAGTGCATTAGCTAATGCTTTTCCTCCTTCTAATCCAAGATTATTCCAACGAAGATCTAAAGAAGTCAGTGTAATGTTCTTGCAAAGTGCATCTGCTAATGCTTTTCCTCCTTCGGATTCAAGTTTATTTGAATCAAGATACAATGCAGTTAGCGTTGTGTTTTTGTAAAGTGCATCAGCTAATGCTTTTCCAACTTCTGATCCAAGATCATTGTTCCAACCAAGTTCCAAAGAAGTTAAGGCGGTGTTTTTGCAAAGTGCATTTGCTAATGCTTTTCCTCCCTCTGATCCAAGATGATTTGAACTAAGACCCAAAAAAGTCAGCGTAAAGTTCTTGCCAAGTGCATCTGCTAATACTTTTCCTTCTTCTGATCCAAGTTTATTCCAACCAAGATCCAAAGAAGTTAGTGTAGTATTTTTGCAAAGTGCATCAGCTATTGCTTTTCCTCCTTCTAATCCAAGATTATTATATCGAAGATCCAAAGAAGTTAGTGTGTTGTTCTTGCAAAGTACATCTGCTAATACTTTTCCAACATCTGGTCCAAGATTATTGTTGAAAAGATTCAAATAAGTCAGCATTGTGTTCTTGTAAAATGCATCTGCTAATAGCTTTCCTACTTCTGATCCAAGATTATTCCTACCAAGATCCAAATAAGTTAGCGTAGTGTTCTTGCAAAGTGCCTTTATTAACTCATTTATTTTTTCTGATCCACATTTAGAATAAAGATTCCAGGTTGAAGCATTTTTTTTATCTTCTTCATTATGCTGGCTGTTCTTGAGAATTTCTTCATAAAGTTCTAATGCTATGAAAAATTCGCCTTGCTTAAGACTTTCGTGCGCTTCGTTTCTCATATTTTCAATACTAAAAGCTTGCGTCGAAATGGTTGAATTTATTCTATCAGGCAAATAAAGTGGAGATGACGCCGTGATGTCTAGTGAAATTTCTTTTATTTCTGGACGATTGGTAGGATCGCTGTCCCAACATTGTTTATAAAGTTCAATATATTGAAGCGGCGTACCTTCAATAGGTTTTTCTCTATTTCCTTGGATAACATTATGATAAATCACTCCGTCCGTTAAGTTCCCAAATGGTGGCTTTCCGCTCGAAATTTCCCAAAGGATCACTCCAATGCTATAGACATCAGACTTCTTATCACGTTTATATCCTTGCTTAAAAAGGCACTGAGGCTCAACGTATGCCGGCATTTCACAAACGATCGAATTTGTAAACATCTTGTTTAACTGCTTTAATAGTCCAAAATCTGCAATCTTTGGTTGTCTCTGATGAATTAAGATATTTTTCGAATGCTATGCAATATTTAAAAACATCAGTGGTTGTAAATAAACCCATAAACATAAAAATAATATACATACGAGATTACTATGAATAATATTGTTGTTATGTAAGAACAGAAGGCCACACACTACTTCTTTGGCGATCTGTAATTTATCTTCCCATTGTAATCTTGCAAAATTTGCTTTCAAATATTCTCGTAAATTTCCATCATAAGCATATTGTAAAACCGTATTATAATATCCTTTATTGTCTGTTTATTACAATTAATATTATAAATTAAACCATTTATTAATTTACATTTAAAAATATTAAACTATATGTATACCTTTCGTGACTCCATAGAATTTAATAATATTCGGATGGCAATTGACTTTTCCCAATAGTTTAAGCTTTTATTTCAAATTATTGTTAAAAAATATAATATATACCAAGAAACAATTCAAAGAAATTCAAGTTTTAATATAATAAATACCTCATTGACAAAACCTTTAATAATTTCTTCATTTAAACCTGTATCAGTTTCGATTTTAAGACACTTAAGAGCAACCGTCAAATCATAACCTTTCCACTCGTATTTGAAAACCTCTCCAAGACCTCCGGTGCCGATCATTGTGGGATCTGTGAATTTTTCATATTCAAGATTATTAATAAGCCCCTCGGAAATAGCTTTTTCAAACCATTCTTCTAGTTTGTTTTTCATGATTCTTTGCCAAAAATATGCACGTACGTACGTAAGTACGTATATGTCATTTATACTTTCTTAAATTGTATACTGCTATGTAATACTGCATTTACATAACTAGCTTTCAGGACTCGAGGTGGGACTGTTAATATCACACATCTAATCCCACACGCCTTGTGATCAATTAAAATAGAATTATTTATCGTTATATTGAGCTCAACTCTTTAGTCTATGTGATAAATATAATCCCTCACCAGTTTTAATATATGTGTAACATTAACGGTCCCTCCTGTTATGTAAACCATACGTACTTCGTACTCCGTTCCTGGTATTGATGTTGGAGGAAGACATTTTAGAACAATTTCTTATTTTCTGTAAAGTATGCTTTTATGAATATTATGAAATTTTCAATCAATGTTCATGTTTATTATTAAATTATTACAGCACCAACATACTTAGACGTGAACCATCTCTCAAATAATTACAGAACAAAAAACCTTTCTCCCTATTTGGAGCTAAATTGACACATCTGGCAGCACTCCCAATTCAGTAGTAACATTTGTTACTCAAAATATAAACATTCTAAATAGAAGAGTTAAAATAAAATTAGTAAATGAACGGAGATTATAGACCATTTTTTGAGCTTGAAAAATTTTTATACATTTTCTAACAAATTATTATACCTTACTAGCATAATTTAAAATGATTCATTTAGACTATTTACAAAAGGTTTATAGAGAAACATATAATACTGCACGTGTTCTTTCGTCCGGCATAGAAACTTGGGAAAATTGCTTTACAAGAATATTATATAGTAATAAAGGCTTAACGGAGAAAGATAAAAAAATTATTCAAGAGTGGTCTATCGATTTTTTTGAGCAACGCAAAGAAAGAGATGAAAGTGGCAAACCAATGCAATGTTCAAAATGTAATTCAATTAAATATTCGTATATATATTGCAAAAATTGCATGAAAAAGAAGCTTGAGAGCCAATTTAGGAACTGGACGTCAGGAAATAGATACATCGATGATTGTATTCAACGACGTCAGTCAGAGATATCTATGTCTGGTTCCATTATAGAATGGATACCATTTGATCAATTTGAAGAGATTGAATTTTTAGCCAAAGGCGGTTTTAGCAAGGTCTATACAGCTAGATGGACTAAAGGCTCGATTGATAAATTGGATGAGGAAAATGAATGTTTTATTAGGACTGGTACTTTAGATGTTGTATTAAAATCGCTTAATGATTCAGAGCAGATTGGGGAAGAATTTATTAAGGAGGTAATTAAAATGTGAATTAATATTTTCATAATTTTTTTGATATCGCAATCTCTGCTGGGGTAATACGTACTTTATTTGTACTGTTGCCACGGTATTTTATATTAAGATATAGGTAGTTCCAAGAACAAGGAACCCAATAAAATCTTCTCTATAGTCACATCACATGATCAAACATTCGGCCTAAGTTAGGGTTAGTGTTAGGGTGGCAAAACATTGATTTTTGATACTTCGACACCTACTTTTTTGATACATCTAAATATACCCCTAAACTTCTATACTTTTTACTAAATTTTACTATAATAACATGCGATCTTATTGGTTAGTCTTGGGGTATGTTTAGATTTATCAAAAAAGTGGATGTAGGCAGTGTTGTACACGGACGTTGTCCCGCTGTAATTTTAGGGACACGGACAGTCCCGGACGATGCCCATGTCCGTGATGGTGACATTGTATACAGGGTTTTTTCAACGATCTGATTGGCTAACAAGGCCACTATTATTATAATTTTTAATTGTCCGGGACGTTAACATTACAGCGGACATGTCCCATGACAACACTGGGTGTAGGTGTATCAAAAATGTATGGTTTGCGTTAGGGTGATGCCGATTTGTTAGTACAGTAGTACGTACTAGTAAACAAATGATATAATTGCATGATTCCACATGATGTGATTATAAGGATGGTAAAAATCGAATGATTTAAAACATTTGATTTTTATTACTTAGTTCGATTATTTATATTCAAATGCGGTTTTTAAATCCACAGAATCTCCGATGCTCACATAACATAGTGTTCTACAATAGTTATATCCTAACGCCCCTTGCTCTCCCACAAAAAATTGTTCACCCCATGTAATTTTGACCAATCGTATTCTAAGATCAGGTGTAACGTAAAAATTTAAACGGGAATAGCTCTAAATTTTTATTAGGAAACCATCTTCTGCGGCCTAATTAAAAATGTTTCTCATGAAAGTCTACTAATAATGATCATATTTTTCTAACTATAACCCTAACTATAACGCGGTTTTCTTAGATTTAATTTAACGCGCAATTTTTTACTTAGAAACAAAACAAGTTTGTTTTGACTATCACGTTACACCTGATCTTAAATTTTGATTGGTCAAAATTACAGGGGGTGAACAATTTTTTGTGGGAACGCAACCTAATATGTTAAATCCTTTATATCATCGTGATTTAAATCACATGCCATCCCTATTGTCAGAGGTTAATAGGGCGAATTCAGAGATGGGGCAAATGCGCCGGATTGTCGCTAGAAAACTGAATATGCCGTGTAACGTTCCTCAAAGATAATAGAGGCGGTTTTACGATTTGGCACAAGGTCAAGGCGATCGTTTAAGGAGCGTTACAAGATGAGTATTACGATTTTAAAAGAATGTGGGTTTATTTGTCAAGTTAAAAAGGCTTTATTAACTTTAGTAATATTTTGTAAGGGCAATAACATTATATTATTAGGGGCTATTCTGAACTCTTGGACGATACTTCGATACTTGACTTCGATGATTGACTGAGTTCTTGGAGGGGGAGATTCCACCCTTTTATAATAAATTGACCGCGAGAAGAGGCCACACAAGACCATGACTCTTCTCATTATTTCCAACACTTCCTAACCTTATTTGTTATAACCTTTAACCCCTTTTCACACAGCCTTTCGTTACTTTAACATTTCTCACGGCTTTCATAGAATCGATGAGAAATGTTTCAGTTTCATGATCCCGGGGCCAGAACCCATCGTATTGTCTTCAATCGCACCCCCTTGACATCGCCTCACACCTAACCCAAGTAAGGTAGGTGGAGTCAACGTCCATTCCCAGCGCAACGGGTTGGTCCAGGTCAACCTTACTTTAATTGGAGGGGGTGGTGGGGTCCCGCATGGAGGCTTGTGTACTTTCATATGGCTTCTTTGAGGCCGGTGCACATGTTTCAGATGGACCGTCATGGGCAACACTAATTAGGCCACAATGACGTTCATTTCGCAGGTCCTACGAGGTGTCGGTTTTACCTCTGACAATATGTAATAATTTAAATGCAAAGGTAAGCGATGTCGTAGTTGTGATAACTAACGACAGTAAAAGCAATGATTTTAGACTCAAAAATTGGTAATTCGATACAGATTAATTTGTCTATTTACCTGATATTTAACTTTTTTTCATTTTTTTTCGTAGGATTTTTTACTGTGTTGATTAATAGATAATCACAAATCGTCAAAGACAATAGCAAAATAATTTTCGGATGACGTGATAATTTATTATATGCCTTGTAAACTTCTGTTTGATTGTCTAATGCGAGTCAGCTGCCCGATAGTGTATATCAAATGCTTCACAAAATATTAATGAGATGCTAGATCAGTTATCGTTTGTACGTTACTTGGACTATTTGTTAACTACTATATTTGCTTTCGTTCCTGGTTTCTAGCGCGACTGCGTCATGCAGCTACCTTATTATGTAATGCATTTCACTATCGAACGAAACTGAATATAAATGTGCAGTTCACAAGGAAATGCCTATAAAAATGAAAATAGAAAGGTTTCTGCTCAAGCTCATTAAGTGCCCAAAAAAATAGAAAAGGTTCCTGGTATAATGGTTCGAACTCGCTAAGCCATTAAATTTTTGCCACTTTTTAGTCACATGGTAGCATTTATCTTCAAACCCGAAATTATCCGTGTTTACATACAACCGACTATGGCATTCAACATTTTTGTGGATAAACATCCTGGAATGTTGTTGTAAACCATACTCTCCGTTTTTACTTACGGAAAACTCCATTACTGGTATCCGTTTTCACTTACGGAAAACTCCGTTTCTGGTATAGACATACATTACTATTTTTGATTTCTATATAATAACCTAAATTTTTCATTAATTTTAATCAACATTATCAAACTCATAATACAAAATTGGTAATATAATGTTATTATTATAGTGTTATTCTAAAATAAAAATTTATTTGAAGCTGGGCCGTTTGCATGTGGGTGTCACCAAGCGAAAACCTGCAATTTCGATTTTTGCCGGCTCCTCTTTCTGATCTGATTCCTAATAAATTTAAATTAAGCATACATACTGATTTTTATATGGCGTGTTAAATCAAATTTTCAAGGTTTGATCCGTAAAATTAATTTCGGAAAACTCACCATTCCTGGTTTTTGCATGGCGACACCCATGTGTTCTAGTTGATAATCATCGTCTGATCATTATTAATAATAGTACGATCACATCAGCCATTACATCAGCCCACAATGCATCATACCGTAAACTACCGTAAAATAACACGTAATTAGTAAGATGTGATAATTGCAGATCATTTAATATTTGAATACACCCAGGAGAAAACTTGTAAATGATTTTTTAACTTTCATCTTACCATTACCTCCATATAATTTGATAGTACTATGAGTTTTGATTGTAATATAATTAATTGTGACTTCAATTACTGCATGCATTATCATAATGCATCAGGGCCAAATTCGGAAGTTAAAATTGGAAAAACGTGTTTAAATGACTCCTTTGATACCTTTTACTGTAATAGTATTGTAATTATAGAATTGTTAAATATTTTTATATAAATACATGAACATTTATTTTTCATACATAAGAAAAGCCTTTAAAAATTATCATTAACTGGGCAAAAAAAGCGAATAACACAATATACTTTAATCGAGAATGGCACTCACATTTAGTGACATATTTAAAGCAATTTTTGCACTTATTCTTCCACCACTTGGTGTTTTTCTTGAAGTTGGATGCAACAAGGATCTATTAATTAATATTCTGTTGACTCTACTTGGATACATTCCTGGTAACAAATGTTTCTATTTACATATTATTTAACGTATCACTATTATAATTAAAATTTAATGTATTATTTTTCTTTTAACTTTTTAAGGAATTATCCATGCATTTTATATTATTCTCAGATATTAATAATGCCAGCTATAGTTTAAATATGTTCTTTAATTCTTTTTGTTATTCATCAACTTAGAGATATTTATTATCTTCTGATATTTTTTTATGTACGTATGTGAGTGCGCATGTATTGCGCCGTTTGTGCGCGTCTTATTTAATTTACAGTATTTGCAGTAATTCTTTACTTTTATAATAGCTTTGTATGTTTAATTAAATCTAATTTGCTTTTAACATGCTTTATAACTTGCTCACGTAAAAAGCAATGAAATTTAATGTGTAATGGACTTGTATTACATACTTATATTAACAGAAGATTTGGTTTTAAAATATCGCCCTCTGAAATTTAAGTTGTTTTAATCAGAAAATGATATTTTTACATTTTAAGTAGGAAACTCTATTATAACAATATAATAATCGTGCAGCAGCATTTTTCATAATCAATAAACAGCTAATTAGAACAAACATAAATCCAATTTATTGATTTTACTGACCTATTTTTCGATTTCCTATTTGGAAATATTTAAAAAACGCAGTGATAAAGTTTATGTTGGGTAATATATTTAAAATTGCACTTCCAACATTTTTTATTAGTTCTTCTATAAAAATTTATGATATAATTAATGATTTGGCATCTGATTTCAGATAAAATAAGAGACGTGTTTATATAGTAAAAGTGTCCAACGAAAACTTTTTGTAGAGCACAAAAGGTGGTTTCTTCCTGATCGTGTTACATTACACCTAAACTTGAAAACTGATTCGTAGTTCAGGAGAGCTGCGCCACCAACCTTGTGCACATTTTCGGTATGCTTTCTCAATAATAATTTTAAAGTTCAATATTTAATTATTACAGTCACTATTACTCAATCCACTATGTACTGTTTATTTTGTATTCTCAATATCAGAGTTTTATTACGATTCATTAATTATTCATTCTACTATTGATCGATAATTTAATTAACAGGAAGAACCATCGATGTTACATGACTGATCCCTCACCTGGTATGCAACATATAAAAAATTATTTTACAATGAAGATCATTCCGTTTTTATTGGTGTTGGAATATAATCTACCATTGTAAAATAATTGTTTTAAATGTTGCACGCCGTGTGAAGGATCAGTCATGTAACATCGACGATTCCTCCAATTGATCAAATTATCATAAATTGTGTAGTTTTTTTACTGATCAAATCATAAATGATCGAAAGTATAATTTCCAACCGTATAAGTAAACCATAATTCTCCCCAAAACGAACAAAAAACCATTCCACAAAAATTAATTGAGTGAATATATCACGCTTTCAGATACAATTATTATTAACAAAAATGGTCGATTACTACCTGTGATCGTACTTCATAGACAGAAGTTTGTCTAACTGGTTAATAAATTCAATTTAATTTTACATTATTTATACAGTTTAGAGTACTTTTAAAAAAACGAAAACTAATCATAATGAAATAAAAAAAGTAAGGATGGCAAAAGTTTTTTATTACGTAATTAAAAACAGGTGATGTTTTTGGTCATAAATATATTCAAGTCCAGATTTGACTATTCGTACTTTAATCATCACCTGTTTTAAATCGGTGGAAAAATGTTTAAAACTGTTTTTTTACCATCCTTAAAAAAAAGCCGTATAGAAAGTTTCATTAGAGCTGTAGGACTCTATAGACAAAAATAAGATATAATTCTCATCCGTTTAAAAAGTTAGTATAGTAATAACTTCTTATAGCCCGATAAAATCAACTTATTACTATACTAATTAGATCTTATTTTTTATTATGAAGTCCTACAGCTCTAATGAAACTTTCTTTTTTCTTTTTTTTTTTTTAAGAGTGAGACCTGGCCTCAGTCTTTATTGAACAATTTGGTATTACATTAATGAAAATGAGTTACATAAATTATTACATGGACCTAT